CCCAGTTCAGTAACCCATGCCTGTCACAAGAGGCAGGGATCGGGCTGACTTGGCTAACAAATGTCATCGTATCCGCATTTGCTTAGATTGATGCCCAAGCTGTTGGTCACTGGATTGTCTGGTCCAGACCGCCGCTGGAATGTTGCTGAGTGTGGCGTTAAACAAGAAACTAACAAACCTATCATCAGCCAGCAATCAACTCGGACTCATGAATATTGTAATGTTCATCTGCTACTACCCCTGTTTTTGGATGAGTTTCTTGATGTGATTGTAAAATGCGAGAAGTTTGTTGCTGAACTGGCCAGCTGTGGTATTTCCGTACATCAACTGAACAGGTTAAGGAAACCAGACACATGACTATTTCATAATGCTGTTTATTACATTATGGAAACACAAAGTAACATGACACATACACTTGCAGCCAGTCAAATTCTTTAAGAGTTCAGATGCTCTCTCACTCAAAATAAAACCCACCATCTGAACTAGGTTGCAGACACTCTGCCTCAGTCTGACCAAGGTAAGGTTAGATCTGTCGCTGTCAATAATGGAAAGAGAACCATATTCAAGATATAACTGTGAATATCAGCATGGCAGGGCTAGTATTTATGCTAAGTTCATAAACACCACAAGTATGTAATCTCACTCTTGCCTATCTTCTCAATACGTTACTGATTTGTTGCATTGGCAATTAACCCTTTGTAATCCACCGACACAGATCAGTTGAACTATGGTTTCTGAAATAGATGTTATACGAGATGACAACTTGGTATATCTGAAGCTGGTTCTCTTGGACTTGTTCAACATGGAGATCCTGAAACTAAGACTGTCGTAAGTCAGTGTTAAAGTATGGGAGTTACGACCATCTTAGCTATAAGACCACATGTGGAACATGCCCTGGATTTGACAGATTACAATTCAAGCCACATCATTGTCGGAATCGAAGTTACCATCCAGGTCTTGAACACAAGAATGTGTTATTTCATTCCTGACAAGTTTAAAGTACCCACTCCAGGATAAGTCCAGCTTGAATCCTGTAAAACTCGTGGCCTAGTTCCTCTTGATTCCTGCCAATGTTTTCAGTTTGCAAGGCATCTAACAACCGTACATCTTACGTTTTGTTTCGTAACATATTAAAACATGAAAACAAATCAATGACTGACTTTTAAAATGATAAATGACAGTTTGAAACAAAGTAAATATAAATTGTTAACTGATGATGAAAAACAGGTCTATATGATGGCTAAAAACAACAGTTTATACATGTGCAGAACCGTGAAGGGTGAACAGAAGCTATCACCTGCATTAAGAAACATTATTTGTTGTGAAATTATTACAAAGTTAGCAATCAAAGTAATGTAAAACATGACATCAGTTTTAGATATCACTGACTGAGTTTAGTTTTACGCCGCTTTTAGCAATATTCCAGCAATATCACGGCGAAAATGGGCTTCACACATTGTGCCCATGTTTGGATTCGAACCCGTGTCTTCGGCGTAGTTTTAGTTATCAAAAATATTTGCCATAAAGGCAAGGCAAAATATATTAATGGATCATGAATCGATATATTTGAAAAGTGAACTGATTATTTCAACTGAATATATGTGTACAGATTGGAAGAAACTAAAAATTGTCAGGGTTTAACAGACAGAGAAAGCAAACAAATATATATAAGTAGTACAAATTTTGTTCCCAAGCATTAAACACTACATGTCTTTCAGTAGATTATTCATGTTGGCTGAAAAATATATTATCTGAAGAAACTTTTGTGACAACTCTCCCTCTTTCTGTCACCAGGCATTGCCCGTGGATTAACATTTCGTCTCAGAAATAAAGGATCTTATTTCAAAATATAATCAACGGGTCAAATTTACATCGAGCCCCAAGAATGATTAATGCAGGCTGTTACAATCTCACTTGCCAAATAATTCTAGATGAGTCAGATTTCTTCATAAAGTCCTTCTCTCAAGTCTGGGAGCCAGATAAGCATACCCAATTGATCAGTGGGAAAACAAGCCAGACTGAAGTCATATGACATTTTTCTCTTTGTTTATAGATGAACTAGTAGTTTCTGTGTAGCATTATACCAAAGAGACAGAATATACAGTGGCAGTATCATATTTAAAAAACATACAAGTGGACTTTTCTTCTGTTTGTTAGGGTTAAGACTGAACCTAGTTGATATAACGTGCTGAAACGTGACGTTAAACCTGACCCATGAAGTGAGTGGTCACAAATTCTGAACATGCATACATTTTACTGAATCTCAAAATCTAAAATTTGGATTGGATATTTGACAATTCTAAGACAAGAATGAGCAGAAAGAAATTATAAAAAATATTTGAACATTTTCAAAAAGTAATTGTAGCATTTCGTTATAAGATAAAATTTGGTAAAAGTGCACTAAAACTGCCAGTTGGCCACCTACAGATTGTGAACAGAAGCAGGATGGGTGGGTGAGTGAGTGGGTGGGTGGACGGGGTGTCTATGTACAAGTTATATACAGTTTCTACAACCTCGGGCTGGGTTCACACTGATGGTGTTCGTGAAGTGGCATCACAAACATGTCTGAGCTGTACCGCTGTATCAGGCACGGCTCGTGTCAAACAGTACCCCTGTATCTGACAGTACCATCATGTCAAGCTGTATCACTGTATCAGCCAGTACCTTCGTGTCAAGCTGTACCTCTGTATAAGGCAGTACCATCATGTCAAGCTCTCACTGTATCGAACAGTACCATCATATCAAGCTGTACCCTTGTATCAGGCAGTACCATCATGTCAAGCTCTATCACTGTATCGAACAGTACCATCATATCAGGCAGTATCGCTGTATTGAGCAGTACCCTTGCCTCAAACTGTATCACACAGTACCATCTTATCGAGCAGTACCAGTACCTTGGCAATAAGCTCGAGAGTTCTATTGTTAGACATGTTAGCTTTACCAGCAAGTACACCCTCAGTACCCTTTAAAGTTTGGCAATTTGGGTAACAATATTTCGCCTTATTTAAATGATGATAGTCATCAGTACAACAAAATATTGGCTGTTTCATAACAGTTCTTAAAGAAAATAGATTACTCTGCAGCAAATGTAATTTTTCAAGCGATACTTATCATACTGAAGATAAGCCCTCACCGTATCTTCTTACTTTGAAGGTAAGCCCTCACTTTTTCCTTACACCTCAGATAACCCATCTATTTCAATTCTTATTAAAGTGAAGACCGCCGCCATATAGCTGGAATATTGCTGAGTGCGGCATTAAACAACAAACATTAAAGTGAACACTTAACTTTACCAACTTACATTACTGTTATAGAAAGAAGTTATCTCCCTTCAATTCAGTTAACCCATCTATATATGTCTGAACATGTAAGTTAGCCCATCAATTAACTTAGTACATAAGAGCCATTAAACTCTAAAATTATCTTGCTACATAGCTCATCCTGTTTATGTCATTAGATTGTTAGCGTAGTGATGTCACACCTCACATCCAATGTAACCCCTCTGCTCCCCCATTGGGAGCTGGAAGACTTTTACTGAAAACTATGGCATACCTGCTCACTAACACAGACAGAGGTACAACAGTGGAAACTAAGCTAACATGAAACAGGAACAGCAATGTAACGGCAGTAAAGGAAATGTGGATTACACATACATATGGTCAGCACTAGTGAGAGAACATGATTGTGTGGTCATGTACAGCCATATATCTGTGATGACAATGTCACACAAGTTCTTGCATGAACTTGGAAATATCACGTCGCGTTACTGTCAGATTAGACACAATCCCTGAGATGTTTTACACCAAGCTCAACTTTAATCTTGTTGACATACACACTAAAATCACAATATCTTTCTTCCTTTTTTGGAAAAAGAAAGAAAGAAGTTTATTCTAGCAATCAGTGTGTGAGCTAGTGAAACATTGCGCTGCTTTTAGCAATTTTCCAGCAATATCACGGCGGGGGACACCAGAAATGGACTTCACACATTGTTACCATGTGGGGAATCGAACCCAGGTCTTCGGCGTGACAAGCAAACGCTTTAACCACAAGGCTACCCCACCGTCCACATCTGATGTGCATAACCTTTAATGTCAGTGCTGACCCCAACTGCTGTAGAGTACACATCAAAACTTAAGACGGCAAACATGACATATATCAAATATGATATATGGCTGTACATGAAAATATATCAAAATATGTACCACAAATGAGATAATGTTCTTTAGTGCTTGATATAACAAAGAAAAATATCACTCACAAACATCCAAGTCTATCAGATACAACTTTTTACAAACTTGTGCTGACAAAAATATTCTGACAATGCATTGCTGTGACAATGCTATTCTTGACAGTGGGTCTGACATAATTCTTTTATAAAGATAGAGGCAGAAAAATATTATTGTGAAGGCAAAATTGGATGTTGGTCGAGTTTCATTGTATAAGACATATAATCAGTTGTTGGGTAAACATTCTAAAAATAACCGTGTTCAAAGACAATATCAGCATGAGAATATCAGTCTAAAGAGAACAACTCAGGACATCCCAGAAGCAAAGGCCTCAACTTTACCTGTGCGCACCTCTTTCATTACCGAGGCCATAACAAAATATTTGAATATCACTTCCCCTACTCTCTATAACACTCCACATCACATAAGATTGTCACCAAAGTACCTACTGATGAAGTAAATTGATATACATCAGCTTCATTTTACTTATAGAATTTACCAGATGAGAAGTCTAAGCAAACATTCATGTTTCATGTGAATCACACCCGTCGACAGTTAATCTTCACTGATGCCATGAACTGTTTATCTTAAACAGGAAAGAAATAACAAAGAACAAAACAAAAATTTAGGACACCTCCCACTACATATCATTTTATTGTTACCATAATAGAATTTAATGTCCTTTTCTGCAGACAATGCCATGAAAAAAGATATAATTATCGAAGCGAATAATTTAATGGTGACATTACTTTGAACAGTGTCAAGTATTTTTTGAAGCATCTCCTTCCTAAATTTTTCTTTCAAAAGCTAAAATGAACTGAATGTAACTACAAGTTGCACTGCATCTGGGATGTCCAAGTTTCTTGGGCAAGACTTTGAGCTGGTCATGGCAGTTTAGCCAAGTCGGATAAGGAAATATACTCTTATATTACAATACTAAACTGGGAAGTTGGTACAAACAACTCACTGAATATCAACATTGTCTTGTTGAATTGAAACCTTGGAAAATGTGTACATGATCACTGACTTTACAAACATCAGCAATATTTCCAAAACATTTTCATTTGCAAAAAAGTAAACTTGAAAAATATCTTATTGGTGAAAACAACTGAGTTCCCAGTTTGGTAAGGTGATTAATGTTACATGATAGGCACACATGGTCAATCTCATCACAACCTGACATGAATAGGTATGTTGCTGGTGGCACTTGAAACAATGTATACATATACAAAATTCAGTTGTGTTCTGATTCTTATTCCAATCATAAACCAACAGCTAAATTTATATAAGTTTCTCATTTACATTAAAATCACCATTAATCAGTTTTGCTGACAGAACTGTCTTTCACAATCACCCAATCAAATGCTTAGCACAAGATTTTGCTTGCACTTTAGCAAGCTGTTAATTTCAATGACCTTGACCCTCTTCAGTGCAGCATTCACCGTCTTACATGTTCACAAGCCAAAAACAACAGTATTTTAAGGAACTGGGTTTTAGACCGCATTTACCAATATTCTTGAACATTACAGCTGAATATCAACTGTCCTTATCAGACATGGATGCATGAGGATATGGTCTACAGGTCTTGCAGCTTTATCCTTCCTAATGTTGATGTCCTTGTATAGTAGGTCATTTAGTTGCCGGTGCTTCATCATGAATTCAACATTTCTGACAGCAGATTCCTAGACTCAACATTCAGACCCTATATAGAACCCTTTGTGTTGTTGACCAGATATTGGCCTAAAAAATTATATGATGATTTGATCGTGAAAATATCAGTGTACCGAAGTGACATGTCAGCATACACTTGACAAACCTACATAAATAAGTCTGGGATTCAGGGATTTACCCTTCTCAGTACACAGCAACGACAGGAACACTGGGGTATAGGACAATCTTTAGCACCTAGCATCTTGAAGAGGGTCTTTAGTCGTTCTCAACACAGTAAACCAATACACCCTCTGGGCCCTTATTCTCGAAAAGTCCGTAGCTACTAGAATTCTTAACTTTGATTGTAGCCAATGTGTTAAGAATGGGGTTAAGAAGTTAGTAGGGCTTTCAACGTTTCGAGAATAGCTTGCCTCATCACTATCTTGGACTGTATAACCAGTTCTGATCATCTTTCAAAGCATGTCACTCCTTATACAACTTTCACGACTATCAGCACCACAGTGTCATCCACAGCAGTGTCATATTTTAAAATCAAATTATCAAAATCTAACAGTATCAGATTTTATCCGTATACTATAAATATGGTATGAAAATATTTTTCGTACAATTGATAGGTTTATAATAACAAGGAGTCGTAAGAGACTACAAGGTTTTGAACTTTCCCTAAAGAGGGTAAATAATATGTTGTCAGGTTAATAATACAAAGCAGCATTGTGTCACAAACCTAAGAAGTAGTAAAGAATATAGTACATCTATATTCAAAGCAGCTAAGTGCATATTAATAAACGAATGGTGACCAAGCGAAATGTCAAGACACAAAGCAATGGGACAAACAAATTGGCAGTACATGTTCAAAACTTGCTTTCCACACAACTAATGCTCTCCTTGACAGGAAAACATCTGGATGGAATTAGCAAATGTGCACAATTCTATTTCAGATTCCCTCCCACCTCATTCTTGACCGAAAATTCAAAGGTCAAACGTTCAACCGATGTTTGTTTTTGTCTTCTGGTCTGTAAATGGGTTGTGTTTTTTGAGAGAGGAAGGTTTGAAGAGTTGGAAGAGAATTATAATTTGGCAAACTGACATTGGTTTTCTATGTTTTGTATAAAATTACTTTGTAAAAATCCACTCACTCCTCATAAAACATATCGGGTAGCACTGGTGAGCTTACGAATTGAAATCTGGCAATAAAACACTACCTTGATTTGATTAAAAAACGATACATCAACAGCAACAAAATGTCTAACACAAGAAATAGGAAGCACAATTAAAAATCTCAATGTCTCAAAGAGAAAATCGATCATTTTTGAATGACACATTTTGGTATGAGCTGCTCTCAAACTATCGACTTTCAGTGCACACTACCTAGTAGACTCGGCAACATTTCTACAAAACGGATCCAATATCTGTACCTACCACAACAATGTACTATGCTGTACTATTTACATGTCACATATCAACAGTATCTACACTATCATACAAGATTCCTATAAAAATATGGCTGTACACATCTACAGAGCGAGCCTTATCTCTGCACCAAGGCTACGGCAATGTCCACATAGTAAACATCTCGGGTTAAAACAGTCACTGGACTGCTAACATTTAGTATATCGTCTGTGAAATTTGATCAGTGCATGACATGAATTCTCCCATAATGCACTGCAGTAGCATGCATGTGTTAGAACTGGGTCGTCCTGGTAAAAGACACCGTTGAAGATAGTGTTGAAGGACGTGTATCTGTTTGAGAGCCATGTGAAGCATGGCTATACAGGAGTTATCTCCCTTTGACTTAGAGGCGAGATTCCAAGCCCACCGAGACAGTAGAACTGACGGGTGGACGGAAATGTGACAGACACTGCTAGACCAGTCATACATTGGAAGTTTGGACATTCTCGAAGAATCGGTCGTGTGCTAGCATGTTCTGAAAGAAAAAGGACACATGTTAGCTGACAAGAGAAAGCTGACATAAACATGATCAAGCTGGGTGAAAACAACACTGATCACATCCAAAAACAGCCCTCAGCCCATTCCGGTATGTCTGTTGTTCTGCAATATTCCAACTATATGATGGCAATATGTGAATATTCTCATATTTTTGTATGAAACTCCCCATGTCCTTGTACATTATCATACCCAGCCACTCTGAAAAGACAAAATCCACCAAATAATTAAGTGTGTCTTTTTCAACACCACTTTGAGTGAATTTGGTTGAATGCTGCTTTGAATAGTATTTCCGTAATATCAGCTGAATGTGAGTGAGTGAGTGAGTATGGTTTTACACTGCTTTTAGCAATTCTCCAGTGAGTGAGTGAATGAGTATGGTTTTACGCCACTTTTTGCAATATTCCAGCAATATCACGACAGGGAACACCAGAAATGGGCTTCACACATTGTACCCATGTGGGGAATGGAACCTGGGTCTTTGGCGTGACAAGCGAATGCTTTAACAACTGGGCTACCCCACTGCCCTAGCAATACTCCAGCAATATCACGGCATGGGGCCGCCAGATCAGTTGAATGTGGGTTGAAACCGTGAAGTGATACAGGCATTGGGTTTGCCACTAAAGTGAAATCATGAAAACAGCTATTGTTTTGAACAGTGTTTCTCTTTCAGCACATAATGTCAGTGTGGGAAGAAAGCCCAAAGCATTGTGGTAGAAGCACGGAATACAGGTATAGTGTTGACAAACCCAACATTTATCAGGCAAAAATGGAATTCAATCCGAAGTCAACACAAGCAACAAAGACTTACTGTGAGAGAGTTTATTTCCTTAGAGAAGGCACCGATTTCTTTGGCTGCTTTCTCTGTCTTGGGCTGAAAGACGACACAGACTCATGCACATACTGAGACAAACATCAAACAACAGATATCATGAGGAATCATTCTCAGAAATTGCCTTTACTATATGACTGTCATTCATTCATTCATTCATTCATTCATTCATTCATTCATATCTTATGAGCGAAACCTCAGTTCCTTCCAAGCTTAGATACCCTGATTGTTTAAACTTGTTCAACATGTTACGTCAGAACTGGTTTGTTTGTTGTTCAACATCACACTTGTTTGTTAAATGATGGGGTCCAACATGACTCTGAGCTACACTTGGACAGCTAGGGACAGCTATGATGGGGTTTGTACAGCTAGTCTGACATGGGGACAGCTTGATGGGGGCCAGCATCATGATGGGGACAGCTACATGATGGGGTCTGTAGCCAGCTACATGATGGGGACAGCATCACACTTGATGGGGACAGCTACATGATGGGGGACATCACAGCTCAATAGGTTAGCTACATGATGGGGTCAGCTACATGATTGGGGCCAACTACATCACAGCTACATGATGGGGGCTTACATGATGGGGACAGCTACATGATGATACATGGGGGGCAGCTAAATGATGGGGACAGCTAAATGATGGGGGACAGAGTCTGACATCACATGATGTTGGGACAGCATACATGATGGGGACAGCTATATGATGGGGACAGCTACATGATGGGGACAGCTACATGATGGGGATGGGGACAGCTACATGATGGGGGACAGCTACATGATGGGGACAGCTATATGATGGGGACAGCTACATGATGGGGACAGCTATATGATGGGGGGACAGCTACATATGATGGGGACAGCTACATGATGGGGACAGCTATATGATGGGGGACAGCTATATGATGGGGATTGTACAGCTACTTGATGGGGACATCACACTGATGGGGATCACTGATGATGGGGGACAGCTACATGATGGGGACAGCTACATGATGGGGACAGCTATATGATGGGGGTCAGCTATATGATGGGGGCCAGCTATATGATGGGGGACAGCTATATGATGGGGACAGCTACATGATGGGGACAGCTATATGATGGGGACAGCTATATGATGGGGACAGCTATATGATGGGGGGACAGCTACTGTAAAGAGCTGAGTCTGACATCACACAGCTTGTTGTTCAGCTACATGATGGGGGACATCACGATATGATGGGGGACAGCTATATGATGGGGGCCACATGGGGGACAGCTACATGATGGGGGTCTGTAAAGACTTGAGTCCGGATCAAGTCAGGACCAGACAATCCATCCATGGCTGTCAGGTTCGAGGATATACTGATACGCTATGAAACATGCAACTGAGCTTGAGTACAATCTAAGAGGATTATAAGCGTGGATCAGGGATTCAAACCCAGAACAATCAAATGTTGGCTGGTTGATGACTTTCTGTCTCAGACCAACAGCCTAGCTTTAACAGATTAACTGGAGAATGTCAACTGACCACTGGAGCCCACTCTTGCAAACGGACAGAACACCCCCCAAAGCAGTGGTCAAGTCAGGCCTACTGTCTGAGAGGGGGATGTACTCACATCGTGTGTTCCATTGGTTGTTCCATTACGCAGTTTCTCTCTGTCTACAGGGGAGGAGATGTCCATGGGACAGATGAATCCATCAGCTTCTGTCTCGGACTTGCTCCGCTTATGGCCAAATATTCCAAACTTTCCCTTCTGAAAAACAATAATGTGCAACTCTAATACCTCCTTGTGCAGTCTGAAGTGAATCCATGGTCTTCAATACCGTGTCTCCACCATGTATAGCTAACTCCTAAACCCCTCAGCCTATTCAACTTACTTTTGAATATGGCTGGGAATCACTTAGCTTGATAATCGCCAACTAATATCGATTGATTATTGATAAATATTGGACGTAAATTTGATTAAAATTCCGCTACAAGAAATTGAAGATATTTCACATCACTAGTGAGTGGTGAAACATGTAGGCATGGATGCCCAACAGAAAGCAGCCTCCTGAAATACTTGAGAAGCAGCCTTTGACACAACTTTGTGTACTATGAGTGTACATTTACACTTGATCTCATTGCAACAGTCTATGTAAGGTATGATCGACAACACTAGTTTCATATCAATAATCTTTCATCATTCTTTTCATCAACAATATTTCTGATTATCAATCTTTTTAGCCAGCCCTACTCTTGAATGGTACACCCATATCACAGAGTTTCAGCATAATGTTGGAGGTAAGCCAGCAGGCTTAGATTCTCACTACATTAGTAAAACCCAGCAGCTCAGAAATATCATACAAAGGATAATCATCACGTGGATGAACCTATGACAAGCAGTTCCTGGCACCTCAAAGGAAATTAACTCTTCAACAAAAACTGTGCTGACTTAGACCACAAGGCTACAAATGATAATCATCAGGTTGCTGAACCTACGATAACCAGATCCTGGCACCTCAAAGGGAATTAACTCAGAACTCTAAATTACCCCTTTGATGTGTGTGGTAAAAACAAGGCAGATTTGTATAAGGTTACCCACCTTGATCTTGTTGCTGGGCATGAGAGGAATATATCCTGAGGAAGCCTCGAACTCCCTCTTCTTCTGCTGTACATCTGGACCAATCAGACTGACGAAGTGCGTACTGAGGTGGCGTCGTAGTAAGGTCTTGCTGGTCGGGATGGACAGCAGCTGAGCAAACAGCTCTGCGTTGAAGCGTGGCTCTAGCACCTGCAGGGGCAAAAGACGAACCATGAGTCCATGAACGTATTGAATGTAGTGGTTGAAAATAGGCATAAAGGCAAGGGTTCATTGTCATTACACAACTGTTGAATATTTGAGATTTTAGACAGTTGCTGGATTCAAAGAACACAGGAGTAGGAATGGTTTACAACATTGTAGCGATAACATGACTGGAACAAAAGGAATGAAACAATAGAGGAACGAAACTAAAGCTGAGATGATGTGGGGGGAAATGATGTTTTATGTGCAAGATAACTGTACTAACATGGTAATGTGTGAGTGTGTGGAGTGAGTGTGAGTGTACATGTGTGAGAGTGTGTGTGTGAGTGTACATGTGTGAGTGTGTGGAGTGAGTGTGAGTGTACATGTGTGAGTGTGTGGAGTGAGCGTGAGTGTGTGGAGTGAGTGTACATGTGTGAGTGTGTGGAGTGTACATGTGTGAGTGTGTGGAGTGAGTGTGAGTGTACATGTGTGGAGTGAGTGTGAGTGTACATGTGTGAGTGTGTGGAGTGAGTGTGAGTGTACATGTGTGAGTGTGTGGAGTGTACATGTGTGGAGTGAGTGTGAGTGTACATGTGTAAGTATGTGGAGTGAGTGTGAGGAGTGTACATGTGTGAGTGTGTGGAGTGAGTGTGAATGTGTGGAGTTAGTGAGTGTACATGTGTGAGTGTGTGGAGTTAGTGAGTGTACATGTGTGAGTGTGTGGAGTGTGTGTGAGGAGGTGAGTGAGTGTACATGTGTAAGTGTGTGGAGTGAGTGTGTGTGTGTGGAGTGTACATGTGTGTGAGTGTGTGGAGTGAGTGTGAGTGTGTGTGAGTTAGTGGGAGTGTACATGTGAGTGTGTGGAGTTAGTGAGTGTACATGTGTGAGTGTGCATGTGTGAGTGTGTGTGTGAGTGTGAGGAGTGGAGTGTGTGTGAGTGTGTGGAGTTAGTGAGTGTACATGTGTGAGTGTGTGGAGTTAGTGAGTGTACATGTGTGAGTGTGCATGTGTGAGTGTGTGGAGTTAGTGAGTGTACATGTGTGAGTGTGCATGTGTGAGTGTGTGGAGTGAGTGTGAGTGTGTGGAGTTAGTGAGTGTACATGTGTGAGTGTGCACGGTTATATTATATGCCAGCACAGTGAGACACCAGATTGGAGTTTAACAGATCAGACATCCTTCCAGATGAGTCATAGTCTACTAACTGAGCCCTTGTTTTACACCATGAGCGCCATGTGCTGGGCAGGGTAACAAGTAACCTGTATGAAGGACAACAGGAAGGTCTAGTCTTCAGTTGCTGGTCGGACACATGTACTCACCATGATTGCCCCGTGCACTGCACTCCCCCGCATGTTGGGGGCGTACTCCGACAGGTCAATAGTTCGCAGCCACTCCATCACGCGGTGGTTGGTCCACAACGCAACATCACCAGCAATGTTCATCAGGTGGCCCTGGATGTACACACATCAACATCAGTTATCAATTAAAAGACAGAAACGCCAGATAAACATTGATATAATACATTTGAGAACATAAAAATGTTATAAGCATTGAAAAAACTAAAATTTAATATGTTTTAGTGAAATACCAAGTGTTCATATTTGATTAAATGAACATTATAAACTAGCTTGACAGTAGAGCCCACCTCTTGAGTTGACGGTCGGCGTTTGAGGCACTGCTGGTTGAACCCGTTGATCCTCAACACCTGAATACCTCGCTTGATGCTGATGTGGTGCAGCTCGTTGCTCACCCGCAGGGCCAACAGATCCTCCTGCAGGGGAAGGGGGAGTTATAGACAGCAAGTCATAAAGACAGAGGGGATAGACAGTAGACAAGTATAGACTGAAGGAGAGGGACAGTATAGACAGTAGACAAGTATAGACTGAAGGAGAGGGACATTATAGACAGTAGAACAAGTATAGACTTAGGGAGAGGGACATTATAGACAGTAGACAAGTATAGACTGAGGGAGAGGGACATTATAGACAGCAGAACAAGTATAGACTGAGGGAGAAGGACATTATAGACAGTAGAACAAGTATAGACTGAGGGAGAGGGACATTATAGACAGGAGACAAGTATAGACTGAGGGAGAGGGACATTATAGACAGGAGACAAGTATAGACTGAGGGAGAGGGACATTATAGACGGTAGACAAGTATAGATATTTTAGACTAAAAAACTAAAAACACAAGGGAAATTTAAAAAGTCAAATCTGTGCAACAAAACCATCCAGATCTCCAACCATAAAAATGCGTAAAGGCATAGCCTAGTGGTTAAAGCATTCACTTGGCACACCAGAGTACCAGGTTCGAGTCCCCACAGGGGTACAATGTCTGGAGCCCATTTCTGGTTTCTTCTGCTGAGGAATATTGCTAAAAGTGGTGGTAGACTATTCTCACTCACTAATGGGAGGATATGTGCTCTACACAAACCATCCAGGTATCCCAAAATTACAATGACTCTTATCAAGTAGCTCCACCAACAATCCTGTCCAGTTATTCATCCCTAGGATGACAATGCTTTGACTCACCACAGTCATATAGTGAAGCATCCTGCCATCAATTCGTGCATCATAGAAAGAATCCTTGTACTGAGGCAGCCCGATGTCATCCAGCCAGCCTAAAACAAGGAACATACCAAACTGATAGGCAGCCCCACATCATTCACAAATACCATACACATCTGATAGAGGTTTAGGGCATGATAAGGATGCAACACTGTACACGGAATGTAAAACAGTAGAAGACTGTGGCCCCAGTTGTACAAAGAACCCCTTACATCTCTTCCCGTAGAAGACTGTGGCCCGAATTCTACAAAGAACCCCTTAGGTCTCTTCACGTAGAAGACTGTGGCCCCAGTTCTACAAAGAATCCATTAGGTCTCTTCCCGCAGAAGACTGTGGCCCCAGTTCTACCAAGAATCCCTTAGATCTCTTCACGTAGAAGACTGTGGCCCCAGTTCTACAAAGAATCCATTAGGTCTCTTCATGTAGAAGACTGTGGCCCCAGTTCTACAAAGAATCCCTTAGGTCTCTTCACGTAGAAGACTGTGGCCCCAGTTCTACAAAGAATCCATTAGGTCTCTTCCCGCGAGAAGACTGTGGCCCCAGTTCCACAAAGAATCCCTTAGGTCTCTTGAGAAGACTGTGGCCCCAATTCTACAAAGAATCCCTTAGGTCTCTTCCTGTAGAAGACTGTGGCCCCAGTTCTACAAAGAATCCATTAGGTCTCTTCACGTAGAAGACTGTGGCCCTAGTTCTACAAAGAATCCCTTAGGTCTCTTCCCGTAGAAGACTGTGGCCCCAGTTCTACAAAGAAACCCTTAGGTCTCTTCATGTAGAAGACTGTGCCCCCAGTTCTATCAAGAATCCCTTAGGTCTCTTCACGTAGAAGACTGTGGCCCCAGTTCTACAAAGAATCCCTTAGGTCTCTTCATGTAGAAGACTGTGCCCCCAGTTCTATCAAGAATCCCTTAGGTCTCTTCATGTAGAAGACTGTGGCCCCAGTTCTACAAAGAATCCCTTAGGTCTCTTCCCGTAGAAGACTGTGGCCCCTAGTTCTACAAAGAATCCCTTAGGTCTCTTCATGTAGAAGACTGTGGCCCCAGTTCTACAAAGAATCCCTTAGGTCTCTTCCCGTAGAAGACTGTGGCCCCAGTTCTACAAAGAATCCCTTAGGTCTCTTCACGTAGAAGACTGTGGCCCCAATTCTACAAAGAATCCCTTAGGTCTCTTCACGTAGAAGACTGTGCGCCCAGTTCCACAAAGTATCCCATAGGTCTCTTCCCTATAGTCCCCAGCAATGAACATCAAAGACAGTGAAGTAAGTGACCTCATCATCTGTGTGTCGTACAAGAGTGCATTTGGAGTCATGCAAACAGTATCCACCTCACGTCCCAAACTGTTCATTACATCACAATTTTTCCTGATCAGACTCTTTTGTCAAGCGTCAAGGTAACGTTGGTGAACTGGTAAAGTATTGGACTTACGAGCCACCCAGTTGTGATCCAGTTCTGCCAGTTTCTCCGTGGACTCTGATCCAATTGCCTGCAGGGCCAACTGAAGCTTCTTCCGATGAAGGCCATTCTTCATCCCCAGTTCCTGCAAGAAATACATTCATGGTTTCAAACTAGACACACATTCATACAACACAGTTTCATACCTAGTGATGCTAACTCACATCAAGTGAGTGAGTGAGTTAATATTTAACGCCACATCGTCAATATCTCAGCCATATCGTGACGAATACAATTTATACAATAAAAAGTGAAAACATTTGGAGGATTAAAACCTGTCGACGATGGACAGTAAAAATACTAAAGAGTGAGTGAGTTAATATTTAATGTCACATCGGCAATATCTCAGCCTTATCGTGATGAATACAATTTATACAATAAAAAGTGAAAACATTTGGAGGATTAAAACCTGTCGACGATGGACAGTAAAATACTAGAGAATATCAGATGTGAATATAAAACTAGTGAGCAAAGTTAAAACATTCCAATTAAAGAAGACAGTACAGTATAAAACACAGGCTATAGATCGCCAACAACTGAAGGTAGATCACCATACTAGGAACCATGGGGACTTACATTACTTTTGCTACCTGCAGACTTACTCGATGTCTCGATCATTTATAAACAATGATCAAAATATAATAAATAGAATATTTTGTTCGGTACATGCTATTTGACAATATTAACAAAATATCCTCTACGTATTTCCAAAAATATTTATCAACAAGAAGACAAAGTCATCAATATCCCCCGCAATGGCAAAATACTCTTCATGATTATGTCTACGAGTTATGATTATGTCAAATATTTAGGTGTGTATATAGAAAAGTGGAAGGAGAGTATTGAAAGGTTTTCAAAGTTCTGCTCCAGAAAGGAGCACTATCACCAATTTCAATCTAAGTCAAACTTGATGCCATGGAAATGACAAAAATATTTTACTCAGAAATCCAAAACTACCAAAAGGCACCAGTACACCACCAGACCAATCTATGTGCCAAGTTTGGTGAAGAAACATTGAACGGTTTTAGAGTTCTGCTCCGGAAAAGAGCACTACCACTAATTTCAGTTTTAGTCAAACTTGTTGCCATGGAAATGACAAAAATATTTTATCCAGAATTCCAAAACTACCAAAAGGCACCAGTACACCACCAGACCAATCTATGTGCCAAGTTTGGTGAAGAAATAGTGAATGGTTTTAGAGTTCTGCTCGAGGAAAAGAGCACTACCACTAATTTCAGTTTTAGTCAAACTTGTTGCCATGGAAATGACAAAAAATGTATTTTATTTTATTCCAAAACTACCAAAAGGCACCAGTAGACTCACCAGTATGTAGATACTATCAATGTCTGTCTTAATAATCATAATTGTATGCATTTTGAAACTTAATAGAAAGCAGACGATCTGCTGATACTTATAGTGAATTTATAACAGAACTGTAATAGCTAGACATTATATAGTTTTCCAATGTGAATCATAATCCGCACACAATTCCTAGTGTATGTTGTCTGTCTCCATTACACTTCAACGGCGAAAACAATGATTCTGTTGAATGCTACGACAAAATGAATAAAAACAAAATGCAAATATTAAAATTAAAACAGATTAAAGTTATAGGAACAATATCAGGCCATTACCTTGTTCGGGAATGTATCCATCAATATCCACAAAACTGTTCCAAATGATGTGTCTTTTAAAAGTTTAATATACGAAAAGTGATAAATCTTTTCAGGTATTGGTGTATAGTCTCATTGGTCACCCAAGATAGCACACCTGGCAACTAATTGCATAATGTCCGCTTTCTTTAAAAACAGTAATTTAGTTAGCCAATAATGGGCAATCAATCAATGTATTGCCGGTTAATCCTTTGAACGCAAGCACGTTGTTTTTACATGAGACACCGACCACGACAGAGTGTATTCAGTATAGATTAGTAAATCTACATACATAAACACTACCTTTTGACAATTCCGCTGTGTAAGATAAAAGTAATTAATCAATCAGCGTGTTATCGGTTAATCCTTTGATCGATGTTTATAATGTTGAATATTTACTCCAGACACAAGAAATGCCAAGTGGGAACCTTTGTCGGTAATCTAAGTGTGTTACCACTAATTATACCTGTTATAAATTCATTAACTGACCATCAAGTGAATGATGACAAATAACATGTGTAAGTTTATACCACCTAACACGGGTTACAACAAGGGAGTATTAATTGCTGTATTACATGTGAAAACTTATGGGCCGACACTGTTTTGAGAATACAAACAGATTTTTATATGAAATGATTAAATATCGAGGTAAAAACACAGAAAATGGGATCAGTTTAGATCAGTCATTATACAAATAGGGCCTAACGACACCAATCGATTTTGAAAGAATCGCCTATGAAAACAAGTTGTAACTCGAAAACTAAGGTGAAAGCAGGAGACAAAATTAAATGACAGTAGATTGTGAGAACATATAGCTTTCATTTTCCACAACAATTGTCACGATTTCATGTTTATACAAGCTTGTAAACAAGATAATTTACCCCTAAAATGTAGATGAATTCTGCATCGCCCTCAAAGCTATTCCTCATATGACGGCACACAGACGCACCATGATTGGTTGAAATTTCGTTCAAGGGTGAGAATTGTGCACTGTTGTCAAAAGGTCGATTTAAGTCAATTAAAGGTCGAAATGAGTAGTTTTAATGACGGGGTTTCATTTATAACGATGCCAGTTAGTGATTTATGTATTTGTACCCCTAGGGTTTATGTGACCTTTAACTACAAGGCATAAAAACTGTACAACACAGGCAGTCTGAGTTGTCCTGACAGACTGGTTATCTCCCTTTGTACACATGACATCATGTTTAAGTGTACAATACAGCTGGTATAGTTGAGGCATCATACTAATGCTGTATCAGAATGCTTCATTCATCACAACATGATTACCAGATGGTCATCAGGCAAGAGTTCTAGAAATTTGATTATCTCCCCTTGGTTGTACCAACCTTTTCAAGGTCTTGTGTCGACGCACGTAGTAACTGTTCTCCGTTGCGCACCCAGCGTTTGCAGTCCACCACATACATGTTTAGGCCGATGTCGTTCATCCAGGCTGTGACACGGTCACCGTCCCATCGGGCAAACGGGATGTCAAGATCTCTGTAACACACATGTATATTACTTACATTCAACTAAGAAAAAAAAATACAAAAACATTATCTAGTGATTAAATATTATATGGCACTAAAATATTTACATTGATCTCCTAGATTCGACAACACACGTTGCATCATGTGCCTGTGTGGATTTGAACCTCGGTATTGAGCACAACTAGCAGATGGTTTACCCACTGCCCCATCAAGAATATTAAAGCAGAGAGCAGAACAGATAGGATATAGGCAGAATGGAGCCCCAGGGGTCTTGGCTCACTTACGTCGTTCCCTTGAGATCTTTTGACCAGCCCAGCCTTGCTGTGGCGGTAGCTCGTACACCCCCACGTCGGAACTCCCCCTCGCGATCACCATCAAAGTCCTGAGAACTGCTTCGTTTTAATCTGAAGAAATCAGCATCATTGGTTATATAACAAGCTATTGTGATGTGGCAGTGTTTGTAGATGTTGTAAACAGTGTTGCAAATGTGTTACATTGTTTCATTTTAGGTTCTGTAGAGGGTTGTGGTGTGCATGTAACTATATATATATCCTTTACATTTGTATTATATCCTGAATATTCCAGTGTAGTCTGACCAAGAGAGTGAGTGAGTTTCAGTGTGTGAGCTAGTGAAACTTTACCCCGCTTTTAGCAATATTCCAGCAATATCACGGCGAGGGACACCAGAAATGGGCTTCACACATTGTACCCATTCGGGGAATTGAACCTGGGTCTTCGGTGGGACAAGCAAACAATTTAACCACTGGGCTACCCCACCACCCAAGAGAGTGAGTGAGTGAGTTGTTTTTACGCCGCAACTCAGCAATATTCCAGCTATATGGCGGTGCTGACCAAGAAAGTGAGTGAGTTTGGTTTTACGCCGCTTTTAGCAATATTCCAGCTATATGACTTTATCCAAGAGAGAAAATCCTGGAAGCATTATATGGATATAAAGGAGAGGCAGTCTAGCCTCTCATCTCAATACCGGGAATTGAGTGAAGATCACTTTTCACCCGGAATTCCCAGCCTCGGAGGCATGACCACTGTTGTAGTGCTACTCTAATCTGTACTGCTATTGTAATTCCTCTGAAGTGAATGGTAGTGATTTGTAAACTTCGTAAAAATTGTTGATTTTTATTACATTTTTATGTTTGTTGGTTTCTTGTTGGGTTCTTTTATGGAGTGATTTCAGTTAACTCCTGTTTCAACATGGGAATCAACATGTAACACTATGCAACGTAAAACTTTAAATATTTACCTTCCAAAAGAGTTTAAGATTTAAAGTTACATTTCAAAGACCAAGAATGGATGTCTGTGTGGAATATAAAGAACTTCAAATACATGTCAGTGAGCATGATACCATACTATTGTCCTTCAACTAATTTCAATCTTACTCACTTTCCAAACAACCTCCGAAGACCTCGCTTCTTCTTATCGTGGGTTATATTACTTCCATGTCCATACTATTGTCCTTCAACTAATTTCAATCTTACTCACTTTCCAAACAACCTCCTCAAGACCTCGCTTCTTCTTATCGTGGGTTATATTACTTCTATGTCCATACTATTGTCCTTCAACTAGTTTCAATCTATACTATTGTCCTTCAACTACTTTCAATCTTACTCACTTTCCGAACAACCTCCGAAGACCTCGCTTCTTCTTATCGTGGGTTATATTACTTCCATGTCCTAGATGCTGAAGACCATCTTCATCATCTGTGACAACTTCAGTGTGAGCTGCAAAACATGCAACCTCGTTCTTCAACGCATAACATAGCATTTAGGTATTACATCATGTGGCTGTGTCACCTCGTGTTTCCTACACTTGAAACAATCAACGTTTTGCTTACTGTGCCTACCCTAGAGAGCTGAACTTGACTTACCATATCTGTGTCTGACAAACTAAACCTTGGTGGTGAAAACCTTTATCTGCATAGGTGGTTCTTCATGGGTTTGCATGTACATGTTCCTCCACAACTGGAGACACCAGGGATGGGATTGACACTGATGTGGGAATTAAACCCAGCCTTTGACATGACGAGCAAACACTTAAACCACAAGGCCAAGGACTATGACTAAAGACTCAGCGATCACTACCATCCAATCACCATACAGTGTTTGTCACTTAAACCAACACTAAGCAATATTCCAGCAAGATGAGAGTGGTCTGTAACAACTCAGGGCCAGACAATCCAGTGATTAATATGATGACAATGATCTACACTGAATGACATCAACCAAGTTACCATGGCAACCTGATCCAAGTGTTTGTCTCATAACTGGAAACTACTTCACAGGAATCCCAAGAGGCCACCGTAGAGATTTATAGAGATTTCTTCAAGACAGGTTGAAATCAAGACATGTGTTTAAGATTATGACTGAGTGACTGGGTTTGTTTAACGCCATTTCGAAACGTATTTCAGACACATCATGGCACGTCAGCTTGAAGCGGGAGGAATACCTTAAGTAATGCAGGCCTCTAACCACAACCACTTGGGTGAAACCAATGAAAATAGGTAAAGTGCTGATCCATCCAGAAATTGGTATGAACTGTGATTTGAACCCACTATCACAGGTGTCCAGCACACCTGAGTTCTCCCACTCTAGACAATTCATCTACCGGTGTAAACATGACATCTTACATAAAATACAGGTTGCATATATTTATGATTATATACTACTCACACTTTGCTAAGGATCACAAATATTCACAACTTTACTTAAACGTAGATTTATAATATGAAATTGTATCCATTTATATCTAGATAAATAATGATATGGCAATCCCTCTTTAGGCAAACAGTCACTTTAATCTAACCTTATGCACTTGAGACATGAGTAACCATAACAATGGTTTTCATGGCACCAATCAACCAATTTGCAAATCATGGAACGAGTCATTGACAAGTACACAACACCTGTCAATAGCAGGTATGGGATCCACAAGATGCAGTGACATACTGAAACCTAGGATCCATGCTTACAATAAGCTTAGATATTTAAACCAAATTTGACTCCACATCATAGTTTTCTGTTGAATCCATGATTTGATCCTTAGCAAAGTGTGAATAGTAGATATAGTTCTGTGCTGCTAAATATACTTGTGCATGCCACCTGATGTGTAAGAATATTTCTTATGGTGGAAGGTGTGTGTGAATATATCAAAATGCATATACGAATGTGGAACGGATCTTGAATATGTCTCAAACATGGTTAGCAGGAATATCTGTTTATCTAACTAATTGTAACAAAATATTGTGTTAAGACAACAACGATAGTATCAAACAGTATTTCATTATAATCAAGGCAACACACAATATACGGGGAGAGAAGTCAGAATGTAAGACTTCTGGGGGGTCAATGTAAGACTTCTGGGGGTAATGTAAGACTTCTGGGGTCCATGTAAGACTGTAAGACTTGGGGTTTTCTGGGGCAAAAAGACTGTTAAGACTTTCTTTAGAGGTACTGGTCATGAAAACAGTATAAATAATGAGAATTTCCAAACAAGTTAATTTAGAAAATGAAAAGAATTGATTAATAAATGGGACGTCTCTTACTAAGTTGTTTTGAAGAGGAGCGCTCACCGCAGTAGGCAGTATGAAGCATCGGCAGTGATGCTGTGGGCTTAATTCAAACATCTATGTGATGGTATCAAGGAAGGGGGCATCAGGGTATAACATGTCTACTTCTATCTATATCACACAGGTTAGAGGGCTGTATTTAATAACACACCATGCAGGACAATGATTGGCCTCTTCTGCCAATGAGCCTCTCAAGAATCTCATAGCTCATTTGTTCAAGGGAAGGACTGCTGATTGGTCCAGAGCTATGCATTCTTATTACTGATTGGACAGAATCATCAATGATCTTGTGAAACATTGCTGATTGGTCTGCAGCTATGCATTCTGATTACTGACTGGTCAGAATCAGAAATGATCATTAAATGAGAATGGCCCTTAGCTACCATAAAAATCACCTAATTGACATAGTGAATTTAAAAAGAGTAAATTTGCCGACATTTTCTGAATGTGGAAGAGATTTTAAAAAGAGGGACTGAAGTGAACAATGTGTATGTACAAAATACAAATCTATTCCATTACCATGGTGACACAAGGTGAAATATTAAGGTTTAAAATATCAGCATCAAATTAGATTGAAGGGACCTGGCAAATGTGTTAACACTGACATAAACATGCTGTTCAGTGATTGGTCGAGTTCCCTCAATGGAGCTCCCTCATTGGCCGGCCATGCAGCAGGTGCAAGGACGGATGCACATGCTGAGATTGAAGCATGGTGTCACCTAAGTTGGGCGCAGAGCAGCTCCGCTTTCCTGATCGGACTCGCATTAGAGTTTTCCCAAACATGGGGAAGCCTCGATTGCGCTTGGGCTCTTTGACTTCCTGCTCCCTAAAACGCTCTTTAGGCAACGTACCGTAACCGACAGTGTCGGTAGCTCCACCCTTCTTCTTACTTGTGGACGGAGTCTGAAATGACAAGAAGACTTGAATAAGGATTTCATTGAAGAATAAAGTAGATTCTAAAGTTGAAACTTGTTTGAAGTTTAAAACTCTAAAAATGTTGGCGTGTGAATAACTGAGTCTGGATCAGACACTCCAGTGGTTATAATCATTTAAATATCATTCCATTCTGTCAGGGTAAGGACATGCAGTCAACCAAACCACCAGGCCTGACTGCATAATCCAGTTAGTTGATTCAGACAATAAATCATGGGTTGTTTGGGAGCTTTCAAACACCCAAATCTCCTGATATTTAGCAGTGTACTTACTTTCTGCTGTGCCGGTGCCACGCTTTCACAACTGTTTGACCGCGTCATGCCGAGGGCTTCGCGTGTGTTTGGCGGTAGATGGGGTGTTCCATATTGGTTCGGTCCAGTTCGGTCGCCTGCATGAACTGCAACAGCATCAGCAAAAGTAGCATTAGCATTGTCAAAATCAACTCTGCTTACAACTTTTTGCACTTTTGAGATTGAAACTTATGGCAAAACTGAGCTAGTGTATGTCTCAAGAAGATCAAAACATAAAAATGCAGATTGTCCTGCTGAAGAGAGAAATGTTTAAAAGTGCACATGTCATTTCTGAATCAGTGAGTGAATGAATATAGTTTTATGACACTTCACCCAACTTTCACATGTGGGAGATCCAACTGGAGACCTTGACTTGTCAAGTGATCCCTTTAACTACTTGGCTCCCCACTGACCCAAGTTTATATACATACCAGATCATCATTTGACTGAACCCCCAAAAAAAAACCCCAAAACAAATCCACACCATATAACACTAAAGATATGACCGATTCCTTCCTCTACATGTGATTTTCTCCACATCATAGGCATCCAGGAGATGGAGTGCTCAATGGACCAGCTCTTCAGTTCTAAGCCCTTCGTTCGATTTTCACTTTGTGAAGCCCATTACAATATACTGCCGAGACTCTGATAATACATTCTCCCTCCCTCACGTCGATGTTGTATTTACCTGGTGTGCTTGTTGCACTGGGGGATGCGAGGTAGTGGCGGCCGTCATTGTACTCAAACTGTAACAAACAAAGTGAAGGTGAGTGAGTGAGTGAGTTTCACGCCGCTTTTAGCAATATTCCAGCAATATCACGGCGGGGGACACCAGAAATGGGCTTCACACATTGTACCCATGTGGGGAATCGAACCCAGGTAAAGTGAAGGTATGTACATATGTAACGGTTGTATTTCTTATATACTACACGAAAGAACAGAACACCAGATGTGTTCATGTGACGTTATGTGTTCATAACAGACTAACTATATTCGTTTGAAAATACATCATGGGTTTCTAAACTTCTTTGAGTAGCACATATGACGAGATAGCTGTATTCCTACACCTGTTATATATATAATACTTTCTGATCCCTCATTACGCCATCTCATCAAAATTTACATCCCTCATTACGCCATCTCATCAAAATTACATAGCATTCAGATTTGACGCCTTTCTCAGGCAACAGCTGACAAAATCTGATGCGAGGGCTAAATTCGTTCATTGATCACGTAGGATACTGAGCAGTGCTCTTCATATTTTGTGACGAGCTCTACTACATGTACAAGCTCTTCAGTGTTTTGATGACTGATAGACACGAAAGTGTACTGCACTAGTATAAAAAGTGATGACATGTCACAAGGTCATACTTAAACCTATGGAGCATATTTAAATCCCAAATATAACATATGTTAGAGCATATTTAAGATGCATTTTTCAACTTGCTAGACATAATCTGTTTCATAAACATTGTTTTATCAGCAGTAAAAGCACAAATGATTAATATTTATTGACATCTTATGTGATGAAATCAGCCCTAGGTATGCAGTTGCTCTCATCCTTGCATAGAATCATGTTATACACAGTAGCCTTGAAGATAGACATTCTTAATGCATTATTGTTCAATGTATTCAGTCACTGTATAGAGTTGTGTCCCCTTACATGTGAGTTTTCTCGAATGGCGTCACCTACAGAGGGCGTTAGTAGATGAGCTGGTGGAACTGGTGTCATCTTCGTTTATAAGCAGCTCGTCTACAACTGCAACAAAAACACATCATCATGAGACATTAACGAGGATTATTTGTATGACGCAAAAAATAGTCCAACACCTAAGAAAACATACACAAACATGCTTTTGAAAAGTCTGTACCACAACATGAACATACCTGCTTGCAGTAAATTTTCAAAGTTTTGAAATGAGGATGAAACGAGAAGAAACAAGTACATAAACTTGACCAATTAATAGGATATTTCATAGAGGCACTGTGATGTTAAAATATTTCAAGCACTATCCTCACTGAGCAGAATAATTCACCTTTGCGACCTTGTGCTTGAACAAGTAACTCCTCCACACGTCGATATCGTTTCAGCAGTCGCTTCATATCGTCCAGTTTCCGTTCCTGAAACAGTCAATCATAACAATGTTAGGGTGTTTAATGTGTAATTCTGCAGGCAGCAATATTCCTGATAAATGAATGTGGCCTGTAAATATTCCCGTCTGGATGGGAAATCCACTGCTTGATATGATAAGCAACAATCCATGTCGGTGTAGATTGTATCACTTCAGTGAGAATGAACACCCAATCCTGCAACAAACATAAGCTACTGGAGCTTCATCTAACCTCGCATGCTGATATGTGGTGGCGTGCGGTCTTGTGAGTCGTAAACTCCTGAGAGTATACATGACTTTGTCTCTAACCACACTGAAACACATGTTACAAGCAGTGTCTTTAGCAAGATGCTTTGTTCAGGATATCTCTTGACCAAGCAGACAATGGGTACCAGGTAGGATGTGACTGGGGCACTGATAATGTTGTGCCTTGAACATTCACTTAGTAATGGAATCTGGCACATCATTAAAGGACATTTGTTCCTTCCTGATACATGACAACCACATGTCAGAGATGTTGGTTTGTTTGTCATGTAACAAACTCAGCATTATTCCAGCAATGTGATTGCGGTCTGTGAATAATGAAAGTTGGGCCACACAATCCAGTGATTGACATCATGAGCATCATTCTGCGAAATCTGGACGTAATAAAATGCATCCACCAAGGCAACTGGCCCAACTACTTGATCATGCTGGTCGCCTCTTACAAGAAGCATGGGTTACTGAAGACCAAATCAAACCAGGATCTTTGGGGGTCCTTGATCACAGTGACAAAATGATTTTGTTCTGGGTGTTCAGTGTTTACACAACATCTGTTGTAAGAATGGTTATCTTACCGTCGTCTGCTAAGCAGCCTATGCGCATGCGCCTAGTGGAGGCGTGCGATTGGTTGACTGAGCGAGAGTTGAACGTGATGTATGGTAGTATATTATCACGCTCGCATGACCAAGGAGTTTTTTTGTCTTTGTCTATGACTATGACTATGCGGTCGACACCTGGAATAAAGGTGTAAACCTAAACTCTGCCTTCTTTTCACATCAACTGAGACCCCCAAATCACTCAAGAAGAATCCAAAGTCCCTCATACCTTGTCATCATTGGCGATCATCAGTGAATCCACAGCCTTCTTAAGCTTTTCAACTTCCGTTTCTGAAATACATCAGTTAATGATTATTCCAGAGATTATTTAAACCCACAACTTCGCATTCTCGGATTGTTCCAAGACTTCTCAGGATCACTGTTTTCCTAGAATATCAGATGAAATACAATAGAAATAATACGCAGATTCCTGAAGGGAAGGTGCTCAACTGGTATTCAGAGTTCAATACAAACTTCAACATTGCCTTGCACTTAGCTGGTGAAAGTCTACATGTCTTGTATGGACAGGTTTAGGGAACATATTTCTGTTAGGTGAGGTGAAATCGGGTTTAACGTTGTACTTAAGAATATTTCGCTCATATGAATGAGTGAGTTTAGTTCTACGCCGCACTCTGCAATATTCCAGCTATATGGCGGCGGTCTGTAAATAATTGAGTCTGGACCAGACAATCCAGTGATCAACAGCATGAGCATCGATCTGTGCAATTGGGAACCGATGACATGTGTCAAGTAAGTCAGCAAGCCTGACCACCCGATCCTGTTAGTTGCCTCTTACTCGCTCATATGACGATGTGCATGCGTGTGTATGTGTGGCTGCTTGTACTAGCCCCGGCTTAGGCTGGATTTATAGTGCTAGCTCACTGAGATACCATGCCGCATTGAAGCATGAATACCCTACTCAGACACAGTATACTGACTCTGAGCTGACCAGTCCTTGTTATACCCATTAATATCGAGCACCAGGCAGGGATCAACAAGTACCATATTTTAACATCTTTTGGTATGGCACAGCCAGGGATCGAACCCATGACCTTCCACTCTCCGGGCAGACACTCTTACTTCTACACCACAGAGGCAGTATACATATTTATGTAGTAGGACTACACGGCACTACAGATATACCGGTATGTCGTAATACTTTTCAAATGATATGTATTGCAATATATTTTCTGAGAACCGGTATATTGGGGAAAGAACACATATGAAGTTTTTGTGATTATCCTTATGGTTTAAATTGAAAACATCCTTTTATAACAATCTGAACCCAATATGAAACTCTTGTCAAGATCATGTTAAAATGATAATTTTCTCTTAAAGTTTGAAAAAAATAATATATAGATTTTGTTTCAGAATATTGCTTGGGGGATGTTATGACCATAAGCAAGAAAAAAAAAAGGAGAGAAAAAGAAGAAAAGAAAATGTGTACATCTTGAAAAGCTGGTTAAAAATGAATTCATTGATTAAATTCATGTCTTGGACCCAAACTGATCTCAGCTATCTGCAATGTCAGAAACTTCTTATCTGCACTACATTCTAAATTTATCAATAGAATCATCTGATCACGATTTTACCGCTTTTCTCAAAGATCTTGATTTTAGTTCTAAAGAAAAATCACTTTTTTATTCTCCATTTGGAACTTCCTATTTTCATCCTTTCTTTGCTATACAGACACTGGACCTAATTATAAAACTGAAAATATTCAAAGCTTGCAGATTACAAGGCTCACCTGATATGATCTGTTTGGAGCCCCGGTATCAGATGATACAATAAAATGAAAACTTATTGGATGGAAATAACTATGACGTTTGCCAAGGTATTCAAATATCTCAGCTAGTCTTTGACAGACTGAGCTCATAAGATTTAAATTAACTTCAGTTGTGAAGAGGAAGATAATCATACCTAAACTTACATTAACTGAAAAATGTCTGAATAATACAATTGTGACAAACACATTAACCAGTGCTTAAGAACACAATAAACTTTTCAAAATAAAATAAAAACATAAATGTATTCACTAGTAATGCTGAAGAAATGTGAAAAGTCATTCAAGCAGCAACATCAAAGAAGCAAACAGATTCAAAGCTGGTAAACACAAAGCAGGTGCAACGCTCCCCAGAATGGCGATGAATGAAAGTGAATTGGAACAAAGGGGTGGAGAGAAATGTCAAAGTGAAATATTCAAGAAAGGCAATATTAATCCTGGTGTGCAAAAGAAACAAAAGGTTACCATAAAAATTTTGACAGGTATGAGTGATTAAACTTATAGAAATGGCTTCTACACTGTAGACTACATGAACGAAATAAGATGAGCACAATGATTACAGTTAAGATACCACATACTATCTGTCTATACTACTTCTAGTTTCCTAACTACTATTCATGTGATACAGTATGGTCCAGTAATATAAAACACATTTAACAAAGCTGATTAACACATTCACTGCAACACTACTCCAAATCTGCTAATGGTATGAACCTGCCCCACTACTTTAATGCACTGCCATATTAGACTTGTAAATATAGAACATGCTTTGAAATGCACCAATCAATGATCTCAGCCCTCAAGGAATCTAATCTAGCTAATTACTGATTCTGCGGGACTGTTATCAAGGGAGATAACTCTGGTTATAGGAGGGTGAGGATGTTAGTGTCAGGTGAACACCGCAAGACGGTCTTACGTTTTCGCTTTAGTCTATCTAACGTTCGCTCGCGAACTGAATCTCTTGAGACGTCTCCTGAAATGTGAAGGTCATACGTTACGTGCTCAAGCAGTGATGCACTGAGAGGATGCAGCAGCCATTTTGAATTTTGTCAATTCACTTTTTCCCTTAACTGATCAATTTTGGCATGCCACAGAATGTCTAACCAAATACTTATTCCATGCACAAGCATCACCTCCAGAAAATGCACTTCAAACCATCTAAGAGGAAAACGAACATCTTGCAGGTTATATTACACACATATTTACAAAGCTAGTAACTCCCAGGTACACATAAAAGAGAGTGTGAGATTATCCATCACATTATTAAGGTACTCTGAGAGTGGACAAATAAATATTTTTTTTAAATGTTAGGAGACAATTTCTGCAACTACACACAACACACATGCAGATTACAACACAACATTCAAGTCTACAAAATGATATTGTTCAAATATTAATATGCTAAATAATTGCAGTCCATACCATGCACTGATTGGGTTTCACAATTATAGAAAATGTAAAAACTTCAATAAAAACTGACATTATTTCTTCTATGATGAGCAATAAAGGAACACATTCGACACAAACCCAAAAGTCAATGAAAGATAGTAATCAAGAAATGCTAATACAAGCTTTTATTACAAACTATTTCTCGTGCATGACATTATCAACACTGCATATCTGTATTAAACATAACACCATCTATACTGCATAATTTAGTTGTCATTTAAAGTAAAAGTCAAATTAAAATAAAACAAAGAATTTTTCACCTTAACCTGAGACAAAATAGTTTCCAGGTCACAAGATATGAAATATTCCTCTTGCATCAAATTATTATTATTTCTGAAATTCTACTTCAACGGCATCTTCAAATTTTATAAGATTCATGAAGCAAACTTTAAGTCATCCAGATATCCTAAGGATCTTTCTTTTGATACTTCAACCTAATCATGAAACAGCTATGGCTTGTTAAGGAACCTAACGTAAGGTGTACTTGAAATCTTACAAACAACTCCTTCAGAAGAAGTTAGTGTTCAAGCTGTATTTAATCACATACCTCCAGATTCAGCTGGGATAATTGTGCCATTCTTCCCAAGCCGTGATCTTAGATCGCAGATTTCCGCTTCTTTTATAGTGTTTTTGGCCTCGAGTTCTGTTATTTGTCTCTGTGAAAATTGTAAAAAGTATGTGACTAATAAACCAATTAATTTTCCCAACAAGAATCCCCCTGAAAGGCTATCATACACTAGTGGATCAAGAAACACTTGATGCAACACACAGTCCATTATTACAATGTTCACGTTAACGCAAAAACCTGCGTGTTGCACGCAAATAAAGTAACATATCACACATGATATTTTCTACCTGTGTGTTCTGCACGCAAAGCTTTTTGTGTTCTGGGAACAAGTAACCGAAAAAACGCATTTTGCCAAATAAAATAAATTTTATCTTAGCTAATTTGACTTGCAAATAATGACAACATGCTCTAAAATGGAAGGAAATTAGAACTAAATTTCAAAATTTTCACAGGGGGACCCCATACCCCCCTAGACACGTCAACGCACACTGGCTTGGACATACACCTGCTGTGCATGCACACAACAGAGTTTCAGGAACACAAAGCTTTTTTTCTACCGCGAACACTATTACATCAGTGAAATGATGGGTTTATCACTCAATGCTGTATGTATTTGTACACATATAAATATTTGTTGTTAGCAGTGAACGGCCATTTAGCTTCTCCCATTCCCACTGGCACGAGTCTCCATGGATCAGAGTGTTTGTCAATATCTCTAATTTCTTTATCACTGCTTGAAGACTTGGAATTGTTTTGCCGTGATAGGGTGGTTAGGTGTTTTGTTTTAAGCCGCACACAGTATTATTCCAGCTATATGACGGCGGTCTAAAAGACCAGACAGTCCAATGATCAACAGCATGAGCATCGATTTCCGCACTTGGTGAGGTATGGTGAAATGAGGTTTAACATCGTACATCAGAATATTTCGCTCATATGACGTCGTGCATGCGTGTGTATGAGTGGCTGCTTGTACTAGCCCAGACTTAAGGTGGTTTATAGTGCTGGCCCACTGAGATACAATGCTGTAGTTAAGCATGAATACCCCACTCAGACACAACCAGTCCTTGTTTTATCCATTAATGCTGAGCGACAGGCAGGGAACAACAAGTACCATATTTTAAAGTCTTATGGTATGACGCGGCCGCGGTCAGCAAGCCTGACTAACCGATCCCATTACTTGCCTCTTACGACAAACATGGGTTGCTCATAATAGGAGTTTTTGAGAACACCATGTTCAATGAACAGTTTCTTACTGCTATTTCTGATAATTTTTTTCTGGAACAAATAAAATAAAAAACGTCCCCAGAAATATCATACGAAAAACAAACACCCACCTGTGCTGACCGCAGTCGGTCGTCTAACTCGCGTCTGTCCTTGTCTGCTGTAGCCAGCTTGATCTTGAGGCTGGAGATCTCCGCCATCAGATCCAGCTTGTGAGTCTCTAGCGACGTCCGCGTCAACAGCTCCTGCAACCAAAAGTTACATGTTTAAAACTAGGTGTATAATAAACAAATCAGTTCTTGAAAATTCTCCATGCTGAGTCTTTGATAGCTGCAATCTGTAAAAGAAGTGGGAAGGAAAGAGTGTTATGATACTTTTGTCAATCATTGTGATTGATGTTCTGGGCGATTCTTAATGGCTGTGAATCATCTGCTCTGTTGGTAGGTAAAAATATTCACGAAAAACTTGGACCATATGACAGGATTTAAAAAATTGGAGACACAAAAAAGTGAGTGAGTGAGTGAGTGAAATTATGCTATTGGGGAGGTCAACCCACAATGTCATGACACTTCCTTGGTGTCACTATGAGTGAGTGAGTGAGTGAGTGAGTGAAATTATGCTACTGGGGAGGTCAACCCACAATGTCATGACACTTCCTTGGAGTTAATATGAGTGAGTGAGTGAGTGAGTGAGCGAGCGAGCGAGCAATCTTAACTATGCTGTTTGGGAGGTCAACACACAATGTCATGACACTTCCTTGGAGTCACTATGAGTGAGTGAGTGAGTGAGTGAGTGAGTGAGTGAGTGAAGTAGGTTCGATGCTGGTTTGTGCAGTATTTCGGCTTCATCACAGCGTGTCAGGTCGATGGGAGGAAACTGAAGCGAAGCTGACATTACAGAGGCGAGTCAAACCCATCAAAGCTTCATTCAAAACTTATCAAAACTTCATCAAGACAAATTCTTCATCAATGATGCATGTAAACAATTCTATGTCAGTCTCCAACTGGGAAGTCTTAACTGGCAACACCACAGATGAATGTTCAGTAATCATATTTCTGATGCATTTCCTGTCATACTCATTAAGTTGATACCATCTTCACTAATGATGGTAATGGCCTTTCCAGCTTTCTTGTCAGCAAGCCATATCAAGAACAATATTAATAACTTTAATGGATTCCCGTCGATGAGATGAACCAATAAAAAAGCCTTCTTACTACAATCTCAAGAACGGCTTTAGAAGGCTCTGACATTGTCGTGTTTATTTGCTCAAAACTTATTGCGAAACTGATAATACATTACTCAACGGACCGTTCAATATATGGGAGCATATTGTTTGGCTCTACATCTGAAAGGGAACATTTAACTTGGGCTGTATATTCCTACAAAGTCACCATAGTGAATAGAAATATGTCTAAAACTTCAATTATCTTTAGCATGACAATCTGTTATCAAGAATCAAGAAAATAGTACTCTTGTTTCTGTTTTGTATACCAGGGCTCGATTTAGGAGTTATTAACCTACTTGCACCAGGTGCAACCTAAGATAAAAACCTAGTTGCACCAGCCAAATTCCAATTGCACTGCTTTCATTGCAATGTGTAATGAAAGAAATATGCCATTGAATTATTTAAAGTTTAGAAGAAAAATGAGCTGACATAATTATGCCTGTAATGTTAGATTTATTGTTAATATATTTCTCAAAATTGACTTGCACCTGGTGCAAGTTAGACAAATAACTAGGTTGCACTTTGTAATATTAGGTTGCACCAGTGCAAGTAACAAAACACTAAATCGATCCCTGTATACATACACATACATACATACATATATACATACATACATACATATATACATACATACATACATACATACATACATACATCATCATACACAGAGGCAAACTTTTGACTTTTTCTCAATAGAGTGATGAGCGAGTGGATAAGTATGATTTTACGCCTCTGTTAGCAGTATTCCAGTAACATCATGGCAGGGGACACCAGAAAAGGGCTTCACATGGCCAACCCACTGCCAACTTTGTGTGATGATAAGGACATGAATTCCATGCTAATTTCAATCACTGAACATGAATCCTACTCTGACATCAATTGGTTGCCTGTACAAGATTGTTTTTGAGTGATGTATATAGTTCTCCTTTTTCTGTTTTAGTTGCTGCGTAGAAACAACCAAACAATAATCATTACACTTGGAAAGAGGGCAGCTTGATGCCAATAACGTATTACTTTAGTTCTTTCCTGTGCCCATACTTCAAAAATTGCTCTCTATGATAAATAGCAACATGTGGCGCCAACCATATGGTTATCAATTACCAGGGGCGCTTCAGTACAATGAAGTACTCTTGTTGGTGGAACTGTGGGCAATAAACTTGATGAAACATTTACTATAATCCCTGCCCCATGGAGGTCTGCGTGTGTCCGATGTAATGGTTCAGTCCCGTTTTGACAGCTGAGCCTATAAATTCATGGTGGGTGCAACAGTTACCGTAACTAATTTCCTGGGTTTGATGTATGTTGGGAGGTGATGTGTGCCGTGGGGGCACTAATGGACGCACAAATTGTCTATCAGGTAAGTTACAGATCAACACACATCCTCCAGCTTTGCCTGGCATTGGTGGCCCACAAGAACTGGACAGGATCACTGCTGTGCATGGAACAAGTAAGACTTCCAGCCTTTTAGGGTAAATAAGATATCTGCCCTGTTAGGACAAGTAAGACATCAGCCCTTAGGACAAGTAAGACATCTGCTCTTTTCGGATAAGTAAGACATCCAGCCTTTAGGCCAAGTAAGATTTCTGCCCTGCATTGACAAATATGATGTCTGTCCATCTAGGCCAAGTTCCATCTCTACCTGGATGGACCAAGCAAGGCTTCCAGCCTCTTATGGATCTTATTTACTGTTAGAGGCTGGAAGTCTTCATTGTTCCATGTCAGTGATAACTAAGACATCCAGCATTCAGGCCAAGATAAGATATAAGATGTCTGCCCATCCAGGACAAAAAGGATGTGTCACTGCCTAGGACAAGAAAGATGTCTGCTCTTTTGGGATAAGTAAGACATCAGCCTTTAGGACAAGAAAGACGTCTGCTCTGTTAGGACAAGTAAGACATCAGCCTTTAGGACAAGTAACATGTCTGCTCTGTTTGGACAAGTAAGACATCAGCCTTTAGGACAAGTAACATGTCTGCTCTGTTGGGATAAGTAAGACATCAGCCTTTAGGACAAGTAAGATGTCTGTTGGGACAAGTAAGACATCAGCCTTGAGGACAAGTAAGATGTCTGCTCTATTAGGATAAGTAAGACATCAGCCTTTTGGACAAGTAAGATGTCTTATCTGTTTGGATAAGTAAGACATCAGCCTTTAGGACAAGTAAGATGTCTGCTCAGTTGGGATAAGTAAGACATCAGCCTTTAGGACAAGTAAGACATCAGCCTTTAAGACAAGTAAGATGTCTGCTCTGATGGGATAAGTAAGACATCAGCCTTTAGGACAAGTAAGATGTCTGCTCTGTTAGGATAAGTAAGACATCAGCCTTTAGGACAAGTAAGATGTCTGCTCTGTTGGGATAAGTAAGACATCAGCCTTTAGGACAAGTAAGATGTCTGCTCTGTTGGGACAAGTAAGACATCAGCCTTTAGGACAAGTAAGATGTCTGCTCTGTTTTGGGATAAGTAAGACATCCAGCCTTTTCACGGCCTGCATTGACAAATATGATGTCTGTCCATCTAGGCAAAGTTCCATCTCTACCTGGATGGACCAAGCAAGGCTTCCAGCCTCTTATGGATCTTATTTACTGTTAGAGGCTGGAAGTCTTCATTGTTCCATGTCAGTGATAACTAAGACATCCAGCATTCAGGCCAAGATAAGATATAAGATGTCTGCCCATCCAGGACAAAAAGGATGTGTCACTGCCTAGGACAAGAAAGATGTCTGCTCTTTTGGATAAGTAAAACATCAGCCTTTAGGACAAGAAAGACTTCTGCTCTGTTAGGACAAGTAAGACATCAGCCTTTAGGACAAGTAGCATGTCTGCTCTGTTAGGGACAAGTAAGACATCAGCCTTTAGGACAAGTGGATGTCTGCTCAGAGTAAGACATGTCTGCTCTTTTTTGGGATAGAAGTAAGACATCAGCCTTTAGGACAAGTAAGACATCAGCCTTTAGGACAAGTAAGATGTCTGCTCTGTTAGGATAAGTAAGACATCAGCCTTTTGGACAAGTAAGATGTCTGCTCTGTTGGGATAAGTAAGACATCAGCCTTTAGGACAAGTAAGATGTCTGCTCTGTTGGGATAAGTAAGACATCAGCCTTTAGGACAAGTAAGATGTCTGCTCTGTTAGGATAAGTAAGACATCAGCCTTTAGGACAAGTAAGATGTCTGCTCTGTTAGGATAAGTAAGACATCAGCCTTTAGGACAAGTAAGATGTCTGCTCTGTTAGGATAAGTAAGACATCAGCCTTTAGGACAAGTAAGATGTCTGCTCTGTTGGGATAAGTAAGACATCAGCCTTTAGGACAAGTAAGATGTCTGCTCTGTTGGGATAAGTAAGACATCAGCCTTTAGGACAAGTAAGATGTCTGCTCTGTTAGGATAAGTAAGACATCAGCCTTTAGGACAAGTAAGATGTCTGCTCTGTTGGGATAAGTAAGACATCAGCCTTTTGGACAAGTAAGATGTCTTATCTGTTAGGATAAGTAAGACATCAGCCTTTAGGACAAGTAAGATGTCTGCTCTGTTAGGATAAGTAAGACATCAGCCTTAAGGACAAGTAAGACGTCTTTCTGTTGGGATAAGTAAGACATCAGCCTTTTGGACAAGTAAGACGTCTGCTCTGTTTGGATAAGTAAGACATCAGCCTTTAGGACAAGTAAGATGTCTTATCTGTTAGGATAAGTAAGACATCAGCCTTTAGGACAAGTAATATGTCTGCTCTGTTAGGACAAGTAAGACATCAACCGTTAGGACAAGTAAGATTTCTGCCTGGTGTGGACAAATAAGATATCTCACAGGCTAGGACAGGCAAGACCTTTATCTTGGCTGGACTAAATAACATGTCTACTCTGGGGGGCCAGAGAAGATATAAAATCTCTCAGGACATGGAATGGTCTATACAGCACCAACTGTCTGCTCTTCCAGAGCACACTACAACAAGTAGCATTGCCCAATCACATCCAGCAAGGGTAAGACCACCCATGTATTTAGTCAATCCATAATTCTTCATTTCCATTTCT